ATACGCGATGTTCGCCCCGTCTTGGTATCGCGTTCCGCTGACAATGAGAGAACGCGCCGCGACGTCGGCGAAGGTGTAACGATTCGGAAGCGGCGCCGTGATTGAGATTTCATCCTGACGCGCTGACTGATTTTTCCTCGGAAGCTCTCGCGACGCGGAGAGACGCTGGTTAGCTTCGGCTCCCGTGGATTCGTCTCCGGCGTTCCGCGGACTTTTCAGCCCGCTCCGTCAGGCCGAGGAGCAATCTGAGTCCCTCCTCGGTAGGTGTTAGTCACGGTTTCGTCTAACCAGGTAATATGATACGCGTTAACGCTGTCTCTGGGCACAGTGGTATCGGAAATTTCGAATTAGGCGTAACATTTCGGAATTATTCGCGCATCATGACCGCTGCTTCGCAGCATCTTCGCCGGTTCACGGAATAGTCACAGGTCATGATGCACGGAGATGACACGCCTATCTCGAAATGTCCGATATCGCCATGCCTAGAAAATGGGACAGCGTTAATGCGCACACAGTATTGTACCGGTATTTTTCAGGTATGGCCGGTCGCAAAAAGGTTGCAACGGTTTCTTTTTTCCATAGATTTCGCTACGCATCTCCGGTAGAGAAACGTGTCTCCTGGGAATTTCTAAAAAAGAAGAAATTCTCCTACTGGACACGAGATGCGTGTCGAAACTTATCTGTGGTAAAAAAAAGTATTGCAATCCTTTCGTGAGTATCCATACAGCAAAATTACAGAGATATCTGGAGGATATCTGGATGTCTGAATATCTGATTGTCGAGATATCACGGAGATATCTGAAAGATGTCGGTGAGATTTCCAAGAAAAGATGTGATATATCGAGTAAAGATGTCTTAAGTGGAATTTGTTAGGTGGAATTTAAAATTCCAGGCATATCTGATTATATCTCTGATATATTTTACCGTAGATAACCGTACATTAAAGTCCATATACGCCCGTAAACAACGATTGTCTTGTCCCCTCCTCCTAAACTAAGTGAAAAAAGCACAAAAGATGCTAATCATATTCTAACTAAAGAAATCGTCTCGTGAAGCCCGTATTAGAGCGTACTGGAAATTTAGCATTGTGAATTAATCAGATAGAAATCAGAATTCGATGAAACAGTTTCGATTTTGCCTCGTGTTATTCCGATTGGCCAATTTTCAATCGCCTAATTTGGCTGTTACACGAACATCCTTAGAACAGATTAGACCAGGATGGACATCTTTTGGACTTGCTTCGCTAAATCTATGCAAAGACGAATCACACGGATGTACGCCCGATCATTCCTTAGACGTGACATCGGAAATTTCCAATCAGACGTGTCTGAATATTCCGGCGTCACGATTGTCGATGAATCGGCAACGACGCCCTAAAGCAGCTGATCTGTCACCACTTGTTAGTTTGACAATTTTACGTTTATTCAGACTGATTGGACATTTTCGGTGTGATTACGCCCAGGATAACCGAGCATGCGATTAATTTCAGATATCGCCGTCATCATTGATTTTTCCAACGGTAACAAGTAACGAGTCGAATGTATCGCAGACTTGTAACTATTTACTCGTTACTACTTTCCGATTGCCGGGTAAATCCGCGAGTGCAGTAATACAGTCGGCGTCAGAAGGGAAATTACACGATTTTCAGCTTTACACATAAGGCAAAATCCGTAATTAACCCTTTGAGTACTGAATTATTTGAAGATTTTTATGCCCATGGGACGGATTTAATTTGTCGCTATATGGATTAATATGTAAAAGTAATACATTTTATGCCCAAGTAAGCAGATGACGAGTCTCACTCGTCAAATGTACCCAAAGGGTTAAAGACATTATATAATCTTATATGACATTAAGACGTTATATAACCCCATGAGTTATGCATGAACGCTGAAAATCGTGTAATTTTCCGTCTGGAGAACGGAGAGACAACATACATGACGCTGACTGTATATATGCCGATATAGAAACACCCGGCTTATACTGTTAGCAATACAGTAGTAATCCTCCCTGGACGAGTGAATGTTAACCAATTAGAAGGGAGAGGGAGGGAGGTGGTGATACTTCATCATTTACGTAGATTTCGCGAAGCGTCGTTGTACGTGTTAAGAGCAGCAGAGCGTGAAATCGCCCGGCATATCGGGAGTAATCGCTCGTTGACCTCGCGTTTAGGATTCACGCAAGTTTCATCGATCGATTCTTGAGCGCTCGATCGACTTGTTCCGGCGGCCTAACGGCACGTCCCTAATGCCGATGCAACCTCCGTCTCTGCGATCTACTCGGCTGAATCGTTAATCCAATTTACTTTGCCAGTTTCTCCAACTTTCGACTATCCCGCAAGCGCGGCATGATCGGTTACTTAGACCGACTTATGATAACCACCCTGGAAAGAACTTTGAACTCCCACCGCGCCCAAGTTCGCAAGCTTTCGGTATATTTGTTTCCCCGCCGTCGACACGGGAGCATTTTTACACGCGAAGCGGCAATTTACCTCGTGTCAATAAAACGCGCGAAGAGTCAATAAAACTCTCCGGAAGGACTCGTTCGTTGAATCTTCCGCGCCGATTTATTTCTCTCTCTCTCTCTCTCTCTCTCTTCCTCCCTCTCCCTTCTTACTTTACTTGCTTCTCGCGAGTCATAATTGTTTTCGTGATTTCAACGCAGAGGCTGAAAATCCTGCGATTGTTCCCTATTATGCGTGGCGAAGCGTTCATGAAATTATAACTGAAGGAAGCTTTATCACGTTTCCCCCCGTGTAACTTTTTCACTTTACGAGAGGGAGGAACGCGGAGGACAGATAATTCAAATTTACCGTGTGGCTTATCCGAGTTAGCTGCTGGCCGATGTATTTCTTTGGATATAGAGAGCGGATCAATAAAATCCAGAACGTGCGTGAGAATGAGAGAGAGAGAGAGAGAGAGAGAGAGAGTGTGTGTGTGTGTGGCGATGCGACGCGCAGCAACGCAACACGCTTTCATTGCAATTTGAGACAAATTGAAAAATTCCTTCGCTGCGAGAGCCGAGTTTTAATTCTACTCACGGCAAACCGGCAGTGGCGGGTGCCATTCAGTGTAAAAACAGTTATGAATCGCGCGTTGAAATTGTTGCTACCGTTTCCACGGGGAAATTCCCGTCCTCGTTCTCTCTCGTTGCTGCACCCTCCTCGAAAAGCACCCGTCTCTTCGTCCTTTAAAATAGACACTTGGGGGAACATCGATCGCACAGGCGTGACGATTCGCGAGCGAGAATGGTTGAAAAATTCAGAACCTTTAACGCCTTTATCACGAAGGAGTTTCCAACTCGCTTCCATCTGTATAACGCAAAAAATCAATCGCGACGAGCGCGTAAGTCGTCTTATATATAATTGAGATCGCCGGAGGTTCCGTCCCGTGGAACTTATCGCAGAGAAAAAAGACGGCGAAAGATTCGATGAAGGTACGAGGAGGTAAATCGTGTCCGTGTGTTCTCCCGTCGATTTTTCCGGAGGAAGTTGTAATAATCTCGGTCGGGAACTGTTATCCTAATTATCATACCACGGACGCCTGCGAAAACTGATCTCAAGTATCCGTGCTAATTTTCGACGAATATAATTAAAATGTAAATGGACGGTAGTTTGAGATGCGTAAGGTGTAAAGGGAAATGCCGATCTCTAAGGAGATACTTTGCCATGAGTCGTTTCTTTTAGAAATCTCCAATATTATCATATCGCATTATCGTATACTGAGAGAAAAAATATGAAAAAAATAAAAAAATAATGTCTGTCCGGTGGTACTAATAATACATTTCCTTAAATTTAAATTCTTTCATTTAAGTAGGATAAACAATTACATTCATGCAAAGCTATAGATTTGAGAAAATGTATATTTTCTCATTTGAAAAAATGTTTTCTCAGTATAAAAATATGTATATTGGTGCAAATAAATATATTATTAATATTCACCGAATAAATATTTTCTCTCTCAGTATACCTAATTATCATATCGCGGAAAACCACCAGGGCCGATTTGGGATATTCGTGTAGATTTCCGACGAACAAACTAAAACGTATAAACAGACGATATTGTAAGATAAAAAATAAGATGAAATATCATACTGTAAGAAGAGATGCTTTGTCATAAGCTATTTTTTTGTTGATTTCCGGTATTACCATATCTGGTATTATCGTACCTAATTATCATAATGTAGAAGACCACAAGAACCGATCTCGACTATCCCAGGTCGATATTTTGGCCGTAGGTCAAACCTTTAATTCTACTACATAGCAGAAGCTAAGACATCAAAATAAATTCTAATAATATAATTTACGTTTACTAAATTATGAGAACAAATTGAGAACATTAAATATCCGTTTTCGTTATTTTAGAAATATTTCGAATATTCATATGAATTTAATAATCAAAATATCGAGAGCATTTATAGCTTCAAAGTAGCATTAAAATTAAATTTGTAGAATTAAAGGTTCAAGAAAGAGAAGTTATCAAGTGTAATATCGTCAAAGTAGGTTTTTATTAGTCTGCATTAAGAAAAATATTATTCTACTATTGGGAAAAACGATTATTCACTTCACTTTTCGTCTTTTAAATATTCTTTCAAGAAGTTTTCTTGATAATAATTTTAAACTATAATTGTAACAAATTTGAGAAAAGTTTATTATCACGTACTCAAAAGAAAAATTTAATCTCTTTTCAAGAATATTATAAATTTTGTGGAAGGAAAGATAAATTTGGTTAATTTAATTTGAATAGGCAAACCGAAGTTCGTTTTAATTTATTATTCTGGATTGAACTACTAAACTACGAAATATTGATACAAGTATAACATTTACTTGAATGTAATATATATTTTTCTGTGTGTGTATAAGCCATCTGAGTAAAACGTAGGCTATCTTTAGGAGGGTTAAAGTACCATCGAGATTTCGATCCGTAATTTCCGACGAGCATAATTAAAACGTAAGTAACGGACGATTCGTTCGAGATAACGTAAAGGTTGGAGAGAAATACCGTTCTGCAAGGAGGTGCTTTGCCATAAGCCGCTTCTTTTGGAAATCTCCGGTATTCGGAAGTTGTACTCCAGATTGCCAGCCTCTTCGGTCCACAGCAGTTTTAAAGAAGAATGATCCAGCGACTTCAGCTTCACGATCGGACATGAATCGACAACGTACGAGCTGCCCCCCGGCTTCGTCAGGTCCGCCCTGTGCTCCAAGATTTCCACGACGTACCACTTGCCCATTATCTGTAACGAGACATTTTCCCATAAGATCAGCCGATCATGGCGAGTCGATAGAGAGTATATTCGCGAATCGATAGAGCCGGGATACAAGGGTCATCCTCCTATATTCGTATTTTGTCGGGCGGCAAAACGCACTCACGTCGCGGAATCAAAGACGCCGGTTCCGGGCGCGGAGCGAAGAAAACGCGAGCTGGAGAATCGACCGGCGAGATAATCCGGCAAGTTTGGCGCGGAGTTAGGTAGGTATAGATAATTCCGTGAGGAGCTTAAAGCAAATTACGGGCGATTTATTGGCGGGGCGGCGGTTGGTGATTAAGTCCGGGGAAATAATATTGGACGGGCGCGCCGAACAACCGCCGAATCCCGAAGGGCTCGCTATATGAGATTTTAATTCCTCCGCTCTCGATCCCGCCGATTTTGTAGATACATCTTTGTGAAGGGTTTTGCTAATCGGATCTGATCGTGTCATGGGCGATATCGTCGGTTTTCGTCCGAAAGAGATCGTAAATTCCGAATTTCAATTTCGGAATATAATAAGGATAATAATAATAATTTGTGAATAATAGTAATTTATTAACGAAAAACTCTTTAACATACACAGGGGAAAAATTTCTAGAATCAAGTAAATATAGTTACCAATTATACCTTTTATCAAGTAATGTTTTTATAAATTTCAGTATATTTAAGTATATTTTATACAATAGCTTGTAGTATAAATATTTAGGAAAGAAAACTGGAGCTAATTGGTTGAAAGGATAAGGCAGAATTGATTATTTCTAACAGGTTATAGAATCGAACAAGTAAGGATTTCATCTTTGACGTATTTCATATTTGACATCTCTGCTTGTTCGATTCTATAATTTGTTAGAAAATAGCAGAATAATCAATTTGCCGACTTACTCCTTCAGCCAATTAGCCCCTACTTGATCGCAATAATATCTTAAGTTGTAAATGAATTATCGAATGTTATTGAATAAGTATTAAAATGGTATTTTAAATTTAAGAAATTATTTACTAGGAATTATGTAATATTTCTTTACAATTGAAGAAACCTGGTAGTTTTGAATTTAGATTTTTCTGCCAAGTAAATATTTTCTAAAAATAAGTTCTGATATTCTCAATATTATGAATCTAATACTTATCACAATTGTTTTAACGTATACAAATAAATCTCTACTCATACGAGGGAAATGTCATATTGTATATAGTCAATTATATTTCTATTTTTAATAAATATCTGCCAAGAAGTATTGGAGTAAGAATTTTACTAGAATTAAGTAAATATTACTTGAACGGCAACACTTTTTCTTTCAATGTACACAACAGAGTTAACATTCATAATAACACAGGCGGACAGACAGAAACTGCCGAAAAACGAAAATTTATACATACACAGTGAAAAATTTTGTGTGAATAACGGTCCGTTGAAATTTTCCTGTTACATTAACATGGGGATATGTTAAAAAGTACACAAATATATGTTAACATATTCATCTTGTTAACATATTACATTTTAACATATTCACTTTGTTAAAGTAACAAAAATGTCGGTGAACCGTTATACGCAAAATTTACATAAAATGTTTTACCGTATGATACTTAAAAACTAGGAGATCCTACAAATCAAATAAGTAATATAAATAATAAACGATATGAAAGCAATAATAAGAACGTTGTGTAAAGTGGAATAACGCGTACGCAGTATCGAGACTTATAAAATCGCAAGTGTAACAGGAAAAAAAATGGTTAAATCGAAAAACGAGGAAAGGACGCGTGGAAGAGACGCGGCTCGTTTAGTTTTTCCATCGAGTGGACGTCGAGGTGGTTGCGAGTGTTGCGTACGTGTGCATAGCTCACCTTTATTACGCCGGAAAACCGCCGTGAATCATTATTGTCGACGTGTAGGCGATACCGAGCACTACGGCACGTCGCGCGAGGTCGGGGGATAAAAATTAACGAGATAATAAATATGGTCTTTGTCAAACGAGTCGCGAAAAAAAAAAAACTTTCAATTACTATTCCGCGGGAATCACATCGCGGACAAACAATTGCGCTCGCGGCTTTTCGCCGGGAATTGCGTACTTTTTTTGCAACAAACGTTTCAATTGCGTGTATCAATTCGATATGAACAGTGGCCGTGACTAAATGTCAATGGTTACATGACGGCGAAACATTTTCACGTGTACAACCTTTTGAAACTCGAGGGCGAAAACCCCGCGAAAGCGCGCGAGTGTGTGCGCGTAGCGGAGGGGAGAGGAATGTGTCGGTGTGTGTATGCGTGTGCGTGAGATAACAAATTTCTATTCTTAACGTAATTCCCGCCCGGTTCTTCACTCAAGCACGGAATCTTAATGTGACTCTAAATCATCGAGATATCTGGAGTCGAAAGTTTCACAGACGTGAAACAGAAGAAGAAAAAAATGAATCGGGGAAACTCGCCGCCGAGGGGAGAGAGATTCGTCTTAATTTCGTGGAAAATTGAAAAGTGAACGATTACAACGTTACGGGCGGTGAGAGGAGCTTCGATGTCCAATAAATGAATTTCCCCGAGTTTCTTTTCGCCGTTGCGTGCGAGTTTCATCAATGCAATACACGCGGGCCCGCACACACCCACCCGATCGCGTTGAAATTCAAGGGAAGTTTAATCACCGCCGCTCAAAAAAGAGATAAGACTGTAAGACTGAGCGCGTTCAGGCCGGATAGCCCGCATCATCATCGCCCGCCCGGTCCCTTAATTTAAATCGCTAACAATAGGTAGATAAACGCGCGAGCCTTCGAGTTACCTTCATTCAAGTTGCAAAAGTAGTTTGAAAAGTTTAATCGACGCTCGGCGGCGGAGCGACCATTATTACACGTAACGCGATTACACGTCCCCTTGGACACTTCCGATTAGTCATTAAATTACGACGAAAGCCTGAAGCCGCTCTCGCACCGTCCCTGCTCCCGGAGAAGGTCCGTGAAATATGACAGTCGCGTGTAACGACACGGACCGCGCGCTGCAGTCCGATTTTATTCCCCGCGATAAATCTACGCTTTAACCCCATAAGTAGGCGCGTGACTTTCTTTTTATGTAACTGCTCGTGCGGGGGCCAATTTCACCTACATTTTAATTCATCGGTATTTTAGGGGTAAACAAAATTTTGCACTTTTATCTATAAGTGATTATAAGTTGAGACACGTTTTAAAGATGAAATAATAATTTTTAAGCATGAGAAATGTAAAAAAAAGTCCATGTTCTCTTTAATATTTCTTCACATGATATATTCAGACGGTGAACGTGTAAGTTTGCAAAGTACGCAGCAAACAAACATTTGACGTGATCGAATAAATTTGAATAATTATTGCACTTTTAAGGTACAAGCATATAGAATACACGAATATATCACTTAAATAATGATATTTGTATTTACCTGCGAAGCTAGCGTGTTAAAAGAACTGTAAACGTATAGTTAAGGCCACCACTGACTATAATATTACAGTAGTAATTACTATAATAAATTGTTCAATCAGCCACAATTCGCGTTACTGAGAAAGCTATAAAAATAAAGCTGGCGCCGAAAGTGACTATAAATTATAGTTAAATTATAGCAACGGCAATTATTCCTTTCTCTTAGTGCGGGAAAGGAAGAAAACTGTGGAAGGAAGATACCGAAGGCGTTAGCGTCGCAAACAAAGACGAAGCGGAGAAACATTCGTTTGTTCATGCGTCCGGGTCAATTTGACCCCGGCGCCGTTTACTTACGCTTCGGGCTAAGTTCGTCTCGCTTTCGTGCTGAAAGCATCATTCCATCCTCCTTCAGCGTATAAAGCAGAAATGAAGATAAAACGGTCCTTTCGGCGTGAAAGCGTGCGAAAAATATTTAAGGATCGGTCGAATTAACCGCCCGTACGTTGACACGGGCGCTTTAACTTTCCGCGAGCAATTGTCGCATGCCGGTTGCCGATTAACTCGATGCCGATGCCGCATAAATCCGCGGGTTATAATTACAAGCCGAATAATACACGCGCGCTTTGTCGGCCGGCGGCGGTGCGGCGCGACAGTCGGCAAAATTGCCGGCGAATAAACCGGCGTGTCGCGCGCGCGCGCGAAAATAAATTTTCGTTTATTAGACACACCAGCGAGCGTGGCCGCCGAGTACAAACGCGCGCTCGTGACTTATGCATTCGCTATCGTAACGAGAACGTCAGCACTCGCTCGGGAGTATTGCAGTAATTAGTAGCGAAGCGTACATTACCGTACGTGTTCGCCGTCCCTAATAGTAGGTAATTCCGAAAATAAAAACGGAAAAGGGGGAAAAAGAACGGTGGAGATGTAGGGGGGGG